TAGGCGGGCGGGAGCGAGGATTCTGGCGGGGGCGGGCCGGGGTCCTGATAACCGGTGGGGTTCGTCTTGCACTGAGGCTGAGGCCCGATGCCCATAGCGGTCCCTCCCACCTTGCTTGGTGGGGTTGGCGGGCCGGCGGGGCTGGGTTCCTGGGGCGAGCCCTTCCTGAGGCGCGTTGTGGAGTTGAACCCCAATTTTGGGACTTGCGATCGATGAAAACAAGCCCCAAACCCAGCCATCTCCGATCATGAATCGAACAATCTCCGATTTTACCTTGGCTGCGCTAGCATAGGTTGAGGGAGAACCAGGATGTAAAATTTTAAATTGTTTTATTTATTCGTTAAAATATTTTGCCGTAGTACATATACGATGACGATTATTTTTTCTTATGAGTGCAAGTTGTGTTTTGCGTTTGTGAACAATACGAAAATGCAGAAGGGGAATTCGGGGCGCAAAAAGTGAGCTGTATCGTTAAACATATTTAAATGTACAAACAAAAATGATTAACTTACATTATTGAGCCCCCACTAAATCATGCCCTTTGGTCTGGATTTATTCTCTGTCCTGGATCTATACTATTACAAAGTTGTGATGAGAGGAGATGCAGTTCTCTTAAGAGCTTTTGTGTAGTGCTGAAGCTTTATGTTTTTTATTTATATTGGATCTATATTCTGAGTTTTCCTTAATTAGCTCTGTAGGGAACCTTTACTTGTATCTAGTGTTTCATATGTTAGCACACCTTGCAGGGAGCATCATTGGGCACGCAGCCTTTTACTTACTTCCTTGGATTAAATTCTCAGAACTGGAAATACGAATTGAATTTTTATGACACATGATATAAATTAATTTTCAAGCATGGCATGTTTACAAGGGACTTTTTTCAAAACAAGGATACTTGTTCATACATCATTTGAGTTCCAAACTCAGTCTGGAATTCAGTCTCTAGTCCTTTTTGCGTGGTGTTTCAGACAGGCTGTGTGGCCTCCATCAGACTGAGGATGAGATGAATCAAGTCTCTCATTTATAGCTAGGTCAAGCAGCCCACAGTAAAGTTGGTGTGTTCATTTCCTCCACATGTAAAATGGATTCAATTCTACTGCTGCATTGGGTTGTTTAAAGAACTCAGAACACTCAGCAGTGCCTGGTGTGTGCTAAAATAATAAGAGAATGTTAGTGTTTGGTAGTGTTCTAATGCTGAAAGGAGTCGCGTGTGCACTCACAGGAGTGGCGATTAATTTGAGTTAGGTTTTGCCCTTCAAATTCTAAGTATTGACATAAAAATAAAATTTTCTTTGAGTGAAATATATTAATAAAAATAATCCTTTTTATTTTATGATTGAGTCCTGGTAGGGTTTTGTAGGGTAAGCACTGGACTGCTAACCTCAAGGTTGGCAGTTCAAACTCACCAGCTGCTTCTTGGAAACCCTGTACAGTCAGAATTGACTCAAAACTACTTAACAATACTTTATGATGCCTTTTATTTATAATCTTTCATTCTTCAAGGAGCCCTTGTGGCATTTTAAGTTAGGCATTGGGCTGCTAACTACAAGGTTAGTGGTTCAAGCCTACCAGCTGCTCTGCAGGAGAAAGATGAGGCTGTCTGCTCCTATAAAGGATTTCAGTCTTGGAAACCCTATGTAAGGTGACTGTGAGTCAAAATCAACTTGATGCTGTGGACTTGGTGTTTGGTTTGGTTTCAGTTTCCAGTTGGTTCCATTAATCAACAAGTTTGTGCGAGCTACTCTCTAGGCACTGGAGGTGCAGCTGAGAATATAATAGTGAAAACATCTCTTCTCTGTGCCGAGTCTCTTTGTTTCCAGAAGGGGCAGACTGAAGCCCAGAGAGGCCAAGTGACTGGGCCACAGCCTTGTAGCTGGTAAACTACCAGTGGCAAACCCAAGTCTCTCACTCATCATTGTTAGATATGTGTTGCTCTGTAATTTTTAAGAGGGGAAGTAATAACAGATACGCTATAATGCCAAATCTTCCACATCTGAAATATAGATGAATGGGTTTGAAATAACTGCCAGTAAGTTTTCTCTCATGGTGTTGTTCTACTCATGAGATTTAACAGATTCACAAGTCTCATTTGAAAAGAAGTATGATTTGCTTTTTACAAGATGCTGAAATTCTTTTAAAAGGGTGTGTTTTCATATATGTTATAAATCAACACATTCTAAATGTGCAGGTAGCTCTAGTTTGGAGGGGAATGGGAGTGTTATCTTGGAATAGCATTTAAACTCCCTGTTCTTGAAAGCTGGCATTGGTAAAAACTACAACCTGAAACACAACTAATGTTTGACTAGCTTGGGAATCAAATAGTCACACAACAGTGCTGTATTCATAACCATTTCTTTAGTTTCTGCAGACAAATGAACTTTCCCTCCCTACACCATTTTAAGGGTGGTCTTAAAATGGGCTGCCAAAAGAACCAATAGATCCGTTTTGGAAGAAGTGCAGTCAGAGTGCTCCTTGGAGGCCAAGATGGCCAAACTTCATCTCTCATACTTCGGACATATTGTCAGGAGGGACCAGTCAATGGAGAAGGATATCATGTTTGGTAGGGTGGTGGGTCAGAGAAAAAGAGGAAGACCCCCAATGAGATGGATTGGCAGCATCGATGGACTCAATTGTGTCAACAGTAGTGAGGTTGGCCCAGGATCAGGCAGTGTTTCCTTCTGCTGTGCATAAAAGTCCGTACCGACTTGATGGCATATAACAACAACTTAGGTTAGGGTTCTACTCTAGAACCCTACTAACTAAAGAACTGGAAGCTTCAGAGAGGATGGACAGAGTGATGACTAGAATTTAAACAATAACGGAAAAGGAAAGGCTCCAGGAACTATCTTGGAGAAGAAATTTCACAGAAAGATGTCCTGTACATTTGGATTAGCTGTTTCCCCACAAATCTTCAAGAGAAGGAAAAACTAGTGTGTGGAGGCTGCAGAGACATCTCAACATACTTTAAGGAAGACTTGGGAATGGATGGGCCCTCTGAAGATTGTGGGCACCAGGCTGTGGGAGTGGTTTCTTGGTAGGAATGCTAGAAACCCAAACTCATTGCCTTGAGGTGATTCTGACTCCCTGCTGCTCTGTAGGGTAGGGTAGAACTGCCCTGTAGGCTTTCCATGGCTGTATATAATTATGGAAGCCCATCTCTGTCTACTCCCACAGAGTGTTGATATTAGCTGTCGAGTTGGTTCCGGCCCATAGCGACCCTGTATAGGGTTTCCGAGGAGCAGCTGGTGAGCTTGAACCGTCGAACTTGCAGTTCAAACGGCTTTGCAGTCTGGCTCATTAACCCACAGTGCTACACCAGAACTCCATAGACTAAGGAGAGTGGGACCAAATTGCCTCTAAGATATTTTTCTAAGTGCCCCAAAAGTCACCACAAGAACACTGTTGTACTTTAAAGAATTTATTTTAAGGTTGAGAAATATGAACAGATATGAAAAGTATTTCTGTACTTGTTAAGTAAGTTATCAAAATATTAGAAGTTGACTCATGAAGCTTCCATTTATTAATCATGTGTGTGCTGTCTGCTGGGCACTCTGGTAAGTTCTTTAAAGAAACGATTCAGTTTACAGTAGCTGTGTAGTCAGTTGTATGGGTGAGGCAACAGGCTCAGAGAGGCAGGCAGTGGCTTGCAGTAAATTAAGGTAAAGTAGGAGCTAAGATACAAGCATGAGCCTAACTGCAAAGTCTGTGTCTGTGATGGGAGAATAGGGTTCCTAGGATCACTGTGAGTTGGAACCAACTTGATGGCACTCCACCACCACACTTGGCTTGACAGATACCACAGCCTGCTTGAAAGCGGGGCTCAGCAAGCTCATTCAAAATAGGTTAGAGTGAGTTTTTTAGACTTTTGGGCCATATGGTCTCTGTTGCAACTACACACCACTGCTGTTTTATCCCTAGACAGTTTGTAAACAAATGAACGTAGTGTTCCAGTAAAACTTTATTTACAAGAACAGGACCTGATTTCACCTGTAGCTTAGAGTTTTCTAACTTCTGCCCCAAAGGCACACTTTGTGGTGGGCACCAGTGGTGTCCCTTGCTCTCACAGGGTTCTGGTCAGTTGTGCCTGTGATTCTATTTATAACACGTAGGCACAAAGTAAATGCTGTTGCAGTCCTCATATCCCTTTGGGTTGTCAAGAGCTGCAATGCCCCTTAAGAGGCATGAGGAATGTACTGTACATAGTTTAGTGGCGATGCAAATTATAATAGATCTGTATGCTGTTACCTTTTTATGTTGGAAGTATGCCTTTTTTATTTGTATTTTCTCTGGGGGTCATATATATGTGAATGTGTAGAAGAGACCTGACAGGGTCCTTAACCAAACCAATCAGAAGAATCATTTACTGAGAATTTGCTGGGATCTGGGGAAGAATGTTGGGGGTTGGTGGCTTTAGCCTTAGCAATGCTTTGATTTTTTTTTTTTTTTTTTCCAAAATAAAGGAAATGTGCTTTTATGTTACTTACATAATTTTAATTAATAACAGGAAGGAGTGGCTAGGCTTCAAGCCCTTTGATGAGCTCCACTAGTTTCTGCAGAGCCATCCCAGGCACATGCAGGAGTGAGGAAAATCAGTAGGCTTTCTGGGGAGGTACCTTGCCTGTTAGATGGCTGCTGCTCTATACTAGTCAGCACTAAGCTCAGAGTGACTTCTTTTGCCATCTACGTGTTCCAGTTGATGAAAATGAAGATGACAAGGTCACTTTTAGACATGACCTGGGTCTCTGAAGGGCAGCTGGCTGGTCCAAGGGAGGTTTTATGGTAAACATATTACAGGGAAAGTCAAGTGGAGATGGGTCATTTGTTATATGTTTAAGGATCAGTCAATCTATGTCTTACTAATTGCTCTGGCATTTTTCTTTGTGTTAATCCAGGAGGAATTTTGTTGTCAGAGAATAAAAGGAGATTTTCCGTAATTGACTTTAAGCAGCAAACGTTAAAATATTAACTCTAGCTGTCAGCTTTACTGAGCTCTTCAGCTCCACCTTTCTTGTAAGTGTATCATCTATTCCAAGTGGTCATGAAAAGTTTTTAAATCATGGAATAACATTTAATAAATTTAGAACTCTAAAATATAAGTGAACTTTCTATGCAATATGAAAGATACCATTTTGGTGAAAACTAATTTGCTTAAGCTTAACTCATTTGATTAAAAAAAAATTAATAATCTTCCATGTTTATGTGGCAGTTCCTAATATATTTTGTACCCTTCTAGACTCTGAGAATTGGAAAACCAAGAAGGTTTTGATGTTTTGTGTGACACCACCTGAATTAGAAACCAAGATGAACATAACCAAAGGAGGTCTGGTGCTGTTTTCAGCAAATTCGAATTCCTCATGTATGGAGCTTTCAAAGAAAATTGCTGAGTGAGTTATAATTACCATCAAAATCTTTAATTCTTATGTGATGTTTTATATGAGATGATCAGATTAGCATTGATGGTTAAACTTGAAAGTAGATACTTCATAGTTATCTGTGCATCAGCTTTGTGTATTAAGGACTAACCTTTTTGTTAGGTGTAGCACTCACGTGTTCTTTCAGCAGACATTTCCTAAGTGCCTCTTGACATGCAAGAGATTGTGTTATATGCCATGTTTACATAGATTCACTAGAGTGAAAAAAATAGAGAAGGTGCATACTACATGAAAACAGTTTATAGTTTATATCATTCAGTATGATTTTAGTTATTTATGAAATATTTAACCCCTATTTTTAGTAGTCCTTGATATATGATGTTGGGGACTGGGAGTCAATAGTGAGTAAGCCTTCTTCTTATGGAATTTTTATTGTAGTAAGTCCGAAAAGAAGCAAGTAAACAAGACAATTTCAGGTGGTGACAGATTCTAGGAGGAAACTAGAGTGAAAGTAATAGTGGGAGAGTTTATTCTGTTTTAGCTATTGAAGCTAAGGGTTTTTGAGTTGAGTTTTGAGTTGAGAAACCTGAATGAACCACCAATGAAGATGTGAGTTCAGAGACCTTTCAGCAGAGGGAACAGTAGGTGCAAAGGCCCTGTGGTATGGAGAAATCAGTGTGTCTTAGAAGAAACGTGGGTTGAGTGCAGAGAGCATAGGGAAAATGATTGAAGATAAAGGCAGAGATAGATTTTGTGGGATAGACCTGGGATGGGGGTTAGTGGGTGAAGAAATGGAGTAATGTAAATTTAATATTGGCATTTTATCTTAGTGTAACAGTTTCTTGATTTTAAAATCTATTTATGAATCATCCTTAAATAATAAAGATGTTAGGTCTATTCTATTACCTACCTTTTCAGCTTTTCCCCCCTTTTTCTTCTCTAGGCGGCTGGGGGTGGAGATGGGCAAAGTGCAGGTTTACCAGGAACCTAACAGAGGTGAGCTATCTTTGGACATGCATAACACGGGTCTTTTGGTGGAATGTAGCAAATTGGCTCCATCCTTTATCCAGTGTTGAAACAAGATCTGTGTACACTGCTCAAGTGCATGGTTCGACAGTCCACTTATTTCTGTCATCAGGAAGTTGAATAAGGTGGAGGGAACTGATTCCATGGCACACCACTCCCACACCACTAATACCTCACTGTAGCGCTGCAGGATAATGCACTAGACTACAAGATTGGTGATTCAAGCCCACCAGCTGCTTCTTGGAATCCCTAAACTGGGTTGCTTTGGATCGGAACCAACTTGATGGCACTTAACAACAATATCATGGTGGAAGTCCTCCTTATGTGCTCTAGGATAAGCACTTGTGGTACCTGCAAGATTGGTGGTTCAAACCTACCAGTCGCTCCCTTGGAAACCCTATACAGGACCTCTGTGAGTTGGAATTGACTCGATGACACTTAACAAAACCAGTACCCTGGCGGCATCCTGGTGTGGCTCTGTAAGATAAGCACTGGACTGCTAACCACAAGGTCGGCATTTAAATCCCACTAGCTACTCCTTAGTAGCCCTGTATGGGGTCACTGTGAGTCACTATGAGTCTGAACTGACTTGACAGTACTTAACAACAACAATACCCGGGTGATGTAGTGGTTAAATTTTAATGGAAAGGTCAGTGGTTTGAACTCGCCAACCACTCTGGGAGAAAGATGTGGCCGTCTGCTTCCATAAAAATTAGAGCTTTGGAAACTCTGGGCAATTCTCTGTCCTATAGAATTACTATGAGTTGGAATTGACTCAGTGGCAGTGAGTTAGTACCAACTAGTTATATAAACATGGGGCAAGTCACGTCTCAGGGCTTGGACTCGAGATCTTAGGCCTTATTCAACAAAAACTGCTTAAATATATGAACTAGTGGTCAGCAAAATTGAAAACATTGGACGAGTTGTTGGTTGACTCTCTGACATCTTAGATTGGATGAATAAATTCTCTATAGACACAGTTTTAATTAGTTTTTATTCTGTATTACCACCTGAGCTGCATAGGTTAGAGTCACGACATCTCATGAGGAAATACTTTTTGCTAATTGCTGTGTGTAAGTATGTGATGGTGATGGTGGTGGTTATGTGCTATGGAATCAGTTCCAATTCATAGCAACCATATGTAGCGTTTCTGAGGCTGTAAATCTTCACAGGAGCAGAAAGCCTCATTGTTTTCCTACAGAATGACTGGTAGTTTCGAACTGCTGACCTTGAGTTCAGAAGCCAGACTCATAACCACTACGCTACCAGAACTCCTGTGTCATTGTAATCATCCCACATTATAAGAAATGTGTCTTGGCGATTTCCTTTTAAGTGGTGGATACTTGAAATTACTTTAGCAATAGTAATGATGTGCTTGCATGGTCTTGATAGTCATACAACCTTGTCCTTGCCAAGTTAGGTAACTTTTCTAATAATTAGGGCTTTTTTGGAGATTAAATGGAAAAATTTGTGTGCCTGACAGAGTTCTTGGCACAAAAAACTCAATAAATAGTTTCCTCTCCTTTTCTACTGTAGGACTTTGGTCAAGTATGTAAACATTAAAGGTTACAGAAGTCTCTAAAAAGGCACAACTTTGCTCTTCCCTATTTTGCTATTATTGACTCCTCTTCCTATCTTAGGAGTACTGGTGTAGTGCTGTGGGTGAATGTGCTGGACTGCAAAGTTGTTTTGAACTGCAAGGTCGCTCCTTGGAAACCCTATACACGGTCACTGTGAGTTGGAACTGACTCGACGGCACTTAACAACAACTTCCCATCTTAGAATTACCTATGTGGCTCCAGCTGGGAAAAGTATAGTATTAGGAGAATATGCAGGAAAAGTTGGAAGACGATTTTGCCTCTAAAGGATGAGGTCCTTTGTCTGGCGTCTGAAAGGGGAAGAAGGGGAAGAATTCTCAGAGTAACACTCTGGAGATTGGTCCACCTTCTAGGTGTGTGAATGAGGGGAGATAGTAATTGGGAAGGAAAGAGAGAACTAACATTTGTTGATATATTACTGTTAATGGATTCTGAAAAAACAGTTCAGGGATGATGGTTAACATCCCAGAATAAGAGTCAATATTAGAATACAGATGTCTCTGACTCAAAAGCTCTTTTTCTTTGTACAACACCATATTCATTTGTGAATGTTCATTAGATTTCTAATTTGTCCCAACTTTATTTATGTTTTCACACATATAAAAATGGAAAGAATAGTATATAGCCTTATATACTATTGTAAGGATACTACTCACATATGTATACCTACCACCTAGATTGAATAGCTAATGGTTTCCCTTTTGAATATGTAAACCATTACGTTATGAAACCATTACCTTATGAAACCATTTGAAAATAAGTTGTAGATATTAAGGCATTGAACACTTAGATGCATCACCTAAAAATATGAACTAACTCCTACATAAATAACTTTATCACATTAAAAAAAAATTGACTGAAATTTTCTAATTATCTAATATCCAGTCTATATTCACAAGTCCCTAATTGCTCTAGAGTTTTTTGTAACATTTTTTTGTCACTGAAGCCAAGATTCATTGTTCGACTAATGTGTTTGTTATCTCTGGTTTCTTCTAATCTAAAATAGTCCCCTCATTTTTTCTTTTGTCTTCCTATGACATTGATATTTTGAGAAGGTTGTCTTGTGGAATGTTCCTTTCTGGATTTGTCTATTTATTTTCTTCTGGCTAATCACAAACGGTTTGAGAATAGGGATATTGTATCTTAGTTATCTTTGCTCTCATGACATACAACATTTTGTGCCTGGGCTCTCCATAGATGTTGGTTGATTCACTGAGTGTATAAGCTCATACAAAGATAGACTGCTCAGAGTGGTATATATTAAAGCACTCACTGCTTATATTAAAGGAGTGAGGAGGATAGATTTACTTGCTAGAAATACAATTTCCTCTCAAGTGTGGCAAGTAACTGAATGTATTTAGAACATATGATTGTTGGTGTTAAAGTGCCATCAAGTCTTCCTACTCACAGCGACCCTGCATGGGGTTTCCAAGGAGCAGCTGGTGAGTTTGAACTATGGACCTTGTGGTTCACACCAACCTTGTGGTATAATGCTTTATTCTACTGGGCCATAACAGGACTCCTGAATGTATGATTAATGGTAATATATTTGTTATTCTCTTGGTAAGCAATGCCATGTGATTTGTGTAACAGTTCCAGTTTCCTTATTTTATAACCTTGAAGAATAATGCAGATTTTTGTGTATTTTAAAAAACTTAAATTATATGTCTTTCCCTCTTTTTTTCTGCTAGAAACAAGAGTACAGATTCAGGAATCTGTGAGGGGAAAAGACGTTTTCATCATCCAAACCGTTTCGAAGTGAGTACTGCCCAGCAGCAGTGCTGATATTTGCAGGTCTGCGTTAGACACAGATATTTAGAACAGTAAGAGTTGGTTAGACAGGAAGGTTCATGGGAGTTTTCAAATAGGTCTATCTTACTTTGCTAATTTTTTTGATGCATCTGCAACCCCTCTGTGTTCTTTTGGTATTCTTGTCAATGGACATAACCAAGTGTTGAAGTTTAGGCTCTTGATTATAATGTTGTTATTGTTAGATGCCCTGTGCACCACAGAACTAACAGTGTCTGCTCCTGCGCCATCCTCATAGCTGTAGTCACATTTGAGTCCATTGTTGCTAGCACTATGTCAGTCCATCTTGTTGGAAGTCGTCCTCTTTTTCACTGACCCTCCACTTTACCAATCATGATGGTCCTTCACCAGGGACTGGTCCCTCTTGACAACATGTCCAAAGAATGGAGACAAAGTCTCACTATGCTGGCTTCAAAGGAGCATTCTGTTTGAATTTCTTCTAAGACAGATTTGTTTGTTCTTCTGGCATTCTATGGTACATTTAAAATTCTTCATCAGCACTATAATTCACATGCATCAGTTGTTCTATGGTCTTTGTTATTCGTTGTACAATTTTCACGTGCATCTGAGGCAATTGAAAATAACCATGGTTTGGGTCACTTGCACCTCAGGCATCTTTGCTCTTGAACACTTTTAAGATTTTTTTTTGTTTTTTAAGTTTTTATTGTGAATCAAGTGATCATTTACATGGGAGAAAATGTCAGTTTTACACTCATCTTATTTTATTTTGCCTCATTGCAATGATTACAATCCCCTCCATGAATCATCCAAAAGTATTTGGTTCTATTCCTTCTGTTTTTTTGGATGTGCACCAAAACACTCAGGAGTATACAATTATTCAGACAACCAAAGGGCATACCCTGCAAGCCTGCCCCCTCACCGGCACATAGCCCCTCTCCCTCCAGGAGTCTAGAGTCCCCAGCTGCTCAATCTCTCCACGACATCATCTCTGCTTCCATCTCTGGTGTTGCAGCTTCTCTGAGTAGGGTCCCACACTCGGCTCCCGCTCTTCTCCCTTGATGGTCCCAAGGTCCTGAACTGCAAGATCAACCACTTCCCCCTTTTTTTGCTACAAAACCTCTGCCTTTGCAGTTGCAACAGTTGTAATCACTCATGATAACAGTTACACACTGTTGAATCAAGAGTCTTATCCCCTCTCTTTTCACCAGCCACGTCTACACAGGATGAAAAACACTCAGTGGGGATTCTACCTTCCCCCTCATACTCTGAAACTGTAAACTCCCTCTTGAAAACTTGTAAGCCAGTCACTTCGTGCCTTTGTGCCATGGAGTCGGATCTGACTCATAGTGACCCTGTATAGCGTATCCGGGGCTGTAAATCTTTATGGGAGCAGAAAGCCTCATCTTTCTCCCACGGAATAGCTGGTAGTTTCAAACTGCTGCTGACTTAAGGTTTGCAATAACCACTACGCTACCAGAGCTCTGTAGCCAATGCCCAAGTTGCCCATCCCTATCAACCCTGTGTACAGAGAGGATGGGAATGATCCTTGTTGTGAAGATTCCTTCCCTCTTGGTTGATATGTTGAGCTACTACATCCGTAAGTATAGGTCAGGTTCATCAAATTGTAGTGATTTACACTTGTTTTCTTTATATAGTTGAGTTCTGATTTACACTTGTTTTCTTCCTTTAGTTGAGTTCTGATCATCCAGCCATTGAAGCTAGGTCACATGGGTACTGTCTGAGAGTATGGGTGTTCCTGTGTATCTCCACTCACTTCGTATCTGCTGGATGATTCACCCTCAGCGTCAACTTTCTGTGGCTATGTCCTTGTCCATGGGCTCAGGCGTCCTCAGGTCTCACCACACTTCTGGTCAGCCAGCCATACTCCAGTTCGATGGGAGTCTATGTGACGTGGTCGGACTCAGCCCACACATATTCATTGCTTTTTCGCCACTTCCACTCCATCAGTAGACGAGTGTGTGGTCACTAGCAAGCTTACATGCCTGCTCGTATATTCCCTTTGAGTTTCAGTCTTGGAAGGGGGTTTGCTGAAAGGACTTGATTGCTTGCCTTGATGGCTCCCCTGCAGACAACTTGTTCTTATGGTATCCAATCAGACTGCCATTATTGTTTTTTATTTTTCCTGCTGGTCATTCTTTTAAGAAGTATCTTTTAATTTTCTAGCCGCTCTAGGCTGGTCTGCTTGTTTTTTCAAGTGGAAATTTCCCACCTCAGAAGCTTCCTGATGGGGATCAGGATTCCACCTAAGGTCTTAGACACTACAAAGGCTCCTCAAGAAGCCTCTTTGATTGCACAAGTTCTAGCACATAAACAAAAAAACCCACTCAGGCATGTATAATAATTTACATCTCCAAAGGGCACATTCTGCAAGTCTGCTCCTGGCCACCAGCTATTAGTCCTTCTCTTCTTAGTTGATGAATCTAGAGTCCTCAGCTGCTCCCCCTCTCCATATCCCCATTTCTGGTGCTGCTGCTTCACTGGATAAGGTCCTGCATTCTATTTGTGCGTTCCTCTCTTGATGGTCCTAGGGTCCTCTGTTTCTGGACTGTAAGATTAACCATTCTTTTTTTGTTACAAATCTTCTACCTTTACAAGCGTGATAGTCGCGATTAGTCATGATGACAGTTATTCACTATTGAATCTTACAAATCTTAGCCCCATCTCCTTTCAACAGACCCATCTAGACAAGATGATAGCTATTCAGTGGAGAGCCTTTCTTTCCCCCAACACTCTTAAACTTAGCTCCTTCTTGAAACCTTGTAAGCCAGTCCCTTAGCTTTTGCTTCTCTTGGAATGTTTTGATTACACTATTGTATTTGATTGACAGCTTTGCTGGGTAGAGGATTCTTGGGTGGCAGTTTTTTCCTATCAGGGTTTTATATATGTCTCCCCATTGCCTTCTTTCCTGCATGGTTTCTGTTGAGAAATCCGAGCTTAATCTGATTTACTTGCCTTTGTATGTTATATTTCTGTTTTCCCTAGCTGCTTTCAAGAACCTGTCTTTATCTTTGATTTTGGAGAGGTTGATTGTTATATGTCTTGTTGATTGTCTTTTAGGGTCTATCCTTCCTGGGTTTCGTTGAACTTCTTGAATGCTTATCTTTTCACTTTTCATGATGTTAGGGACATTTTCTTCCAGAAGCTCTTCAA